TTCTAGCTATATAATTTATGGTACCCAGGTTTTTATATAGGTACTAAAGAGTTTTTATAGAATATAGACTTCTTGAGTGATCTAAAAAGCAAAATGAATATTTTAGTACCCAGGGTACCGAAAAAGTGTGCCAGAACTCCCCTTTTTGCTCTACTAATGACCGTGACTACCAGAACTAATGTTTTCGACCACAGTTCATTGCTCAGTTTCGAACTCCAGCCCTTGAGAGCAAGTGGTTTGCCCAATTGACCCAGCGAAAACAAGACCCAGTAAAAGACATCGATTTATATTATGTATCGATCAAAGAGCTATTACATTAAGTCGAATCAGGTGGTCATCATTATCCTAACACGGCAAAAGCCCAGATGTTTATTAACAGCCTCAGGTCTGAGCTTGCGACTTCTGTTGCCCTCTTTATGCCCAACTCTTTAGCTACCGCCTATGAAAAGGCCAAAGCTTTCGAAAATTCTTTTAAACAAAACTCCCTCAGTTACAATCCTTATTTGTCTTATATATATCCGGCCCACATTGGAGTTGTACCTAATCAAACAACAGTGAATTTGTCTTCACAAGTTCACCCAGCAATAATGATAGCCTTATTTACAATAACAAAACCAGAAGACCCTCTTGTAAAATTAACTGAAGCCATCACAATAATGATGACGAAGATGCAAGAAAACAGGAAACCTCCGTGACGAGGCTCCAACAACTGGAACAACGTCAACCGGTTCAACTATAATCATTGTGGACAAGCAGGACATTATGCCAGAAATTGTCCCAACCCACCTCCTAGAATCCTAGAAACAATATGGCTACCGGAGCCAATACTATACTAGTAGGACAAAATAACAGCACCCCTAATAATCCACCGCTGAACAACAATAACAGTCAGCCACCCCAAAACAGAGGCAATGAAGCTTAAACTTTTCTGAACCTGCATGAAGAGGTTTTGGATCCCTTGTTTTTCCCTTCTGAAGAAATCGAGAGGCCAGTGCAACACACTCATAGTAAAAAGAGGCATGTTGAAGAAGAGGCCCCTGAACAACAAGAAACTGGACGAGAAACTTCAGCACTGGTCACCACGGTTCTTCAGGGACCAAAGAATATCAAAGAAAATTATAACAATAATAAAATTATAAATTTTAATAGAACGAAAACACCATTTTTTAATGTTGTTATTTCAAAAAAGTACGTTGCCCTTCAAATTTTTTTTATAATTTTTAGCCTCTAATATTACTGTTTTGAATTCAAAAAAGTTCTTGTATTTCTTTACTTTTAAATTTTTTATAAATAATAATTTTCAAAAATGGTTGATATTTAGTATAGGTGGGAATATATAAAATTATAAGATTATTTAATATAAAAATAATTATTTGAACTAATCTAAACAGATTTGAGAATAGTTAGGGTTAGGGTGAGGGTCATAGTATAGTTTATAGTTAGCTTTGGGTTAGGGTTAGAGTTTTTTTATATTAAATAATCTTATAATATTTATATATTCCCACCTATACTAAATAAGATCCTCAAAAATTTTAAAGACCAAGTTCTTAATAAAATACGTGATAAAAAAAATATTGGCTTTAAAAGTATAATAATAAGTCTCAAATAAACACATACTATATAAATTAGAAAAAAAATTCTTTAAATGAAGAAAACATTTCTCATAATCTACACTGGATTATATCTTTAAATCCTTAATATTAAAGATGTTTCACTTTTAAACCTAAATTTTATAAATATTGTTAACCTTACAGTACATACTTCCATAATACAGTTTTCTCTACTAACACATTAAGTAAGGTCAACACCTTTTATAATAGTACCTTTTTATAATGAACGAACTAAAAATTTTAAAATTTATATTATTTCTATTATGTCTTTAATTCACAAAAGAAAATAGAAAACATTCAAAGTATGGGTGGTTGATGAAGTACATAATGGGAGTTTTCGTTGAAAAAAAATTGATATATCTTAGACGTCTCTTTCAAATTTTTGTCAATTAAAAATTATATGCTTCAAAATTGTACTTCATATTTTAATTGGTATGGGTATAATTTTATCGATTAATAAAAAAAAAAAATCAAAAATTCACAACATAAATCAAATTATTAATTATTGTATTTAACTTCCATTACAGTTGTCAAAATCTATATATTGAAGATTAAACAATTGCTAAGCGCTATATGATTTTTGTATATACCTTGGCGAATACAATCACAACAAAAAGTACAAAGAACATTGTTCTTATAACAAGACAACTCCTACTTTTACAATTTGTTTTATTAAATGACAACTATTATTTTTCTTTAATTTCTTGGTTGGATATTTTATTTGTAATACTTAGTGGTCAGGTTAAGTTTTGTTGAGTACCAGCATTTCGTAAAGAAATAAATTTGCCTATTAAAATTATATCAAGTTCAGTACCTAAGGTTCTAATTCATTTGCCATTTTTAGCCTATTAATATCAGGAATCCGAATCACCAAGTTTCAAATTTAACACATATTTTTTAGTTTTATATCATTTTTCCATTAAGATTATAAATCCTAAGTAATATGTTGATTTGCTACCATGATTATTTTTATCAGGTTCAATATTCAGTTCATCTATACTTCCAACTTTAATTAATTTAAAGGTATTAAGAACCCAATATTTAAAGTTCGAATTTTCATGTTTACTTGATGGGTTTCGTAAAATAGCCAGGCAATGATCATACTTTAAATAATTGATTATATATCTTTCATTTTTCATTGTTCATGTAATCATCGATGAATTTTTGAAAGCTTTAAAATAAAAGAATCGAAAAAACTAGCGAAGAATTTGAAGCCATATTATGGAAGATAAAATAACAAAGAATTTTTTTTATAATCAATCTATCATAGGAAGACTTTTATATGATTGGCTGTTTAAATCAATTTAATTTTACATTATTTATATAAAGTACTTTTTAAAAAAAATAAACCTATGAAGAATAAACAAAAAAGAAGTATATAGAAAGTTTTATTAGGGTTGTAGGACTCTACTATTAAAAAGTATCTTTATCCCTTTTTGTTTTAGAGAAGTTAGCATGATAGCAACTTCTTAAAGATAGATAGAATTAGGTTATCACCATGCTAACTTCTCTAAAACAAAAAGGGATAGAGATACTTTTTAATAGTGGAGTCCTACAACCCTAATAAATTTTCTATATACTTCTTTTTTGTTTATTCTTCGTAGTTTTATTTTTTTTAAAAAGTACTTTAAACTATATAAATAATGTAAAATTAAATTGATTTAAACAGCCAATCATACGAAAGTCTTCCTATGAAGTATGAGGTCATAGTAAATGGCTATTTAAGAGGGAAAGAATGGAAATCGGTTCTCCCACCCACCACCGGGCAGGGTTAGTGTTTTACATTTGAGGCGCTTGGAGGATAGGGATGTGTCGATAGCCTGGGTGGACAACCCGGATGTCGAAGATGGGTGCTTTGTCAGCTCAATCGAACTCTCGGGTGTCAAAGGAAGGGAAATATGAATGATGCTAGGAACCAGCTGTGGACCACGTGGGCAGCGAGGCGAGATCCCATATAGTGTTTTCCGTAGCTGTAATTTTGTTTTTGTGATTGTACCTGGTGTTCGAGTGACAAATAAAATATAACTTGCTGCAATAAATTTATGGCATAACAATGTCATAATGTTTTAATTGATGACAGTTATACGTCAAATATGAATGCTAAGATCCCAATTAGTAATAATAAGCCGTTATAATTTTAATTCAGAACTTTGAATATAGTTTACTAGCTCATCCGTTTCTACGCAGCTATAATAAATTTTAAAGACCTTGAAGCAACCAATCAGTTAGAACTTATTTTTCACGTAACGTTAATTATATGCTGTAGTTGCAGACGACTTTGTAGTGTTGGTAGGATTTTAATATTATTATCAGTAATATATACCTCAGATTGATTATATTAGTTTAGTACCCATTTTAATCATATAAATTAAATAGTTGCTTTGGCAAGCCATTTACGTAAATTATATGAAAAATAACAACAAATGATAAAAGATTACTTTTAAGTCATGATTGTAAAGTGAACTGTGTGCTCTAATTATGCATATATGTCATTAACTTTTTAATAGACCAACAATGAATGGAAAGTTTGTCCTAAATTATTAGTTCTAATATCACTTTATGCAAGATACACTGGTTACATTGTCAGTACTGTCTATATTACTATCAGTGTTTTCAATCTTGAAGAAAAAATTATATCAGTAATCATGATATTGCTTCAAAAATGGATGTATTTAGGCGCAAATTTGTAAGTATACTCTTAGAAATTAGAAATACGTTAGTTCACTGTTTCAGATGTGCAGTGCGAAATTGAAGAATAAATTCGAAACTAGTATTGTATTACCGAAAAAATTAAGGAACAGAAAAAAAAAATAATATAAAAAAGAAATTGAAGAATAATGTTATTAATATTTATATAGTTATCGTTATAATAACAATATATATATATAAAGCTAGAGAATGGAATCGGTGAATAATTATTCGAGAATCGATCGAAAATTTCGAGCATCGAAATAAACCTCATTCATTGAGTTTTTAATTCAGTCAATCATCGAACATCGGTCAAAATTGAAATTCAATTGTTTTTGATAGTGATAAATTTTATTAAAAACATGGACTTTTATTTTAAATTTTGTTTAATATTATTAAATAAAGATAATGTATCTTCTGTTGTTTTAATAGTGAAGAGAACGAATCTAATTGTATTGGTATTTCGTCTATCATGACTAATAAAATTACAGTAAAAGATTTACTAAATCTGTCTTTTCATTAAACTTTCAAAATCAAGATGATATAGCAACGAATCTATAAATATCTTGCTCCTTCTGAACTTGATCTTGAAGCAAATCCTGTGTTGTGGTGTCCTTACAAAATGGCAATTTCAATTTTAAGTGAAACGGGCGTGAAAATTATTACAATTCCTACAACAAGCATACCATGTAAACGCTTATTTTCAGACACGGGAAATGTTATAAGTGCGAAAAGATCATTATTAATTTAAAGTACAGTAACTTTGCAATGAAATTTTTAAAAAATAATATGAAAAAATTTTAAATGTAAATCAAAAAAATAAGTCATGTACATTATACATTAAATTTTTTTTTAATACGATATTTTTTTTTTAATAAATATTTTAAAAAACTCTGAATATTCGAACATCGGTCAAAATTTTTTACCGATGCTCGAAAATCACAAGTTTGTAACCAAACAATGCTCGAAATTCATCGATTCCAATTTCTATATAAAGCTATAAAGCTAACTGCTTGCTCGGTTCATTATTAATTTGCATGTTGTAAATTAGAGTTCCGAACCGGATGCAATTTCTTCACCCGCGTCTAACCCAGATGAAAATTGAATATATGTTATGCGTTATTGATTCCCATCAAATCAGAATCATTTTGAATTTTCACTGATCAATAAATGATTTTTTAAAACAAAGAAAAATAAATGGAAGAAGTTGCATTTCGTTTTTTTAGCATAATCTCATTATTTGATAATAAATATCGTTTATGTAAAATTTAATATTTTTTTTAATTAATCGGTAAAACTTTTACGATCTTAAAATGACATATTCACAAGAATTAACATGCACAACATATCCAACCGATTTGACCCGGGTTGCAAATCAGTGATTCAGGTCACCCGTTTTGACCTGGGTGCCCCAGTTTACTACAAGCCGCATTATTGTAAATCAGACTCTTAACACCGGAGGTTAAAGTTAAAGATACTAGTGAAATTGGTGAAATGTGGTAAATATATCCGACTGATAATCTTATTTAATTTACAAGATGACAACTTTAAAGGTTAGAGGACCTTTGCTATTTTTATCTTTGTGTTTTTTAGAATGAGCTTGTGCAGTAACACTAAGTAGATTAATATTTAGAAAGTTAAGAAAATTTTGAAACTTATAAGATTCATGATCTGATTTAAGTCCATTGAAACAAAATTGGTTTAATTGTCTGACATATAAATCATTACAGTTTGAAGGAATAGTTCTACAACTCACATTCGTTATAGTGAAATTATCGTGCTAAGAAAAAAAATATTCATTATTGTTTATACCGAGAGAATACTATGCTATACTGAATTTGAGCTCAGCGATAATATAACTTCAAAGTTTTCCATTAAATCGAATTTCATAATATCGAAAGTCAATATTACGAAGGTGAGTTGTACTCAATGTACTTAAAGTTATTACAATAACATTAGCAAGTAATTTTTTATAAAAAATCTTCTAAAACTTTATATAGTTATTATATAAAAAACTACATAAAAGTTATATATATTGTTTAATATATAGTATTTATATAAAAATTTATAAATATAATTTTATAAAAAAAAACACATAAATGTATTATAATTTTATAACTTTATATGTTATAATATTTAAATAAATTTTTTTATATTAATAAAGGGAATTCTTATTTCTACACATTTTTTTTTGCACCTCTCCGTTTTTAAAAATTTGTGGAAAGATGCAGATCACTATACCATGGAGAATTCATAATATTTCTCGGATTTTCGGAGTTTTCAAGACCAGCTCAGCTCTAATCAGATTTTTAATTTTTACTGGCAGAATTTTCACATTTTATGGAAATCATTTTTCACATCTTTTTGAAAACAGTTGTCAACAGAAATAAAGCAGATTGACATTTTAAAAAAATTAATATTGTACCTTTACTTTCACGGCGCATATCTCAATGCTGCATTAAATATTGTTTTTAAAATTTGATCAAAGATATCTCGACTCCCACCTAACCAAATTTAATTAACTTTTTTTATTTAAATTGTGATTTCTATAATTAAAAGAAAAAATGTTTATTGAGTTTGGTTAGGTGGATGACGAGATATCTTCGATCAAAGTTTTGTAAAAATTTGAACATTTATCAAATAGAAACCATGTTGAAGATTGTTTTTAAATTTTGGTAAATATATCTCGACACCCACTTAACTAAATTAGACGACCTTTTTTTATTTGAATTTTGGTAACTTTTACAATTAAAAGAAAAAAAAGTCTATCAAATTTGATTGGGTGGGTGTTAAGATATCTTTGGTCAATGTTTAAAAAAATTAGGAAATTATTAAAATGATATACTTAAGAGAGGTGTTGTATTATCAAAAAAAAAAGGGTGTGAAAATATTAAAGTGATTGGGAAAATATAATATATATATGTACATAGTTAATTTTTGTATTTCAGGAGGATTATAAATTAAAATATAAGTTTAGTTTTTAAAGTTATATTAAAAATTTATTTAGATTTATTTAAATTTAAATTTAGTTTGCTTTATTTATAGATTTTATATAGGCAATTTCTATTTGTACACCCGTGTATGAAACACGGGTATATTAATAACTCAAAATTTTGTCTATGAAACCACTTTTCGAGTTCTAACAAAAAAAATCTACATAAAATTTTAGTATAAACTACTCCTAACTCTAACCTCTAATCTAATCTATTTTAACTTTAATTTAATTTAATTTTTTTCTTTAAATTTTGTATTAAATTTTTTTATAAATTATACCCATGTTTCATACATGGGTGTAAATTTATAAATTTCAATCAAAAATTTTCAGAAAATTTGGAAATAACTAGGAATTTAAAAAGGCTTTATATATGTTCTTATTATGAAAAATGCTAATTTTTAAAAATAATAATCCAAATAAAAAATCTAAATATGATTTTTATTTTTTTTTATAGAGTAATTTTATAGAGCTTATATAGCTTTATAAAATTTTTGAAAAACCTCTTGTATTTATATAAAATTTTGTTGACAATCTGAATATCAAATAATGATGTAATTGAGTTTTCTCAAACATTATCTTCAATATATATTGCTAGTAATCATACTATATGTGTCTGAAAATAAGCTACCTTTTTTTTGCCAAAAAATTATACAAAAATTTTTGGAGTAGCTTATTTTCAGGTCAAATTGATTTTTAACTATTTTTTATTAAAAAAAAGTAGTTTTTTTATATAAAGGTCAAAATTATACTAAGTAAATCTTATGTTTGGCATTTAATAAAAGTTGTTAAAAATGTAAAAATATACATATCCTGAAAGGTTCATACAATTTAAATAACTTTTTATTAGTCTAGTTTTGCATTTAATATTGAACTTAAAATGCAAAATGTATTAATAAAAAGTTATCCAAATTGTTTTACTAAGTGCCAAACATAGATTTACTTAGTATAAGTTTGACTTTTATATATAATAACTGTTAAAAATTTGGGTGGTGCGCATTTCACCGACAATCACTTCACAGACAGCTTAGTTTACCGACAATTAATTCACAGACAAGCTCATTTCACCGACAATTATTTCACCGACAACATTTCACCGACAAAATAATTCTGGTCATTGTTGTTAATGTCAAGTTAGAATTAGAGTTAAGGTTAGTGCAATTTATAAAAAATACTTGTCGGTGAAATGAGCTGTCGGTGAAATAATTGTCGGTGAAATGAACTTGTATGTGAATTAATTGTCGGTGAACTAAGATGTCTGTGAAGTAATTGTCGGTGAAATAATACGTATCCAAAAATTTAGGGGTGGTTTATTTTTGGGCTAAAGAGGTTTTTACCTTTTTTCTCCAAAAGAGGGTAGCTTATTTTCGGACACATACGGTACTGATTCTCATTTAATACAATCAATCCAAATAAAGATCATTATTGGTACTTGAACAGTTCTTATTTTCTTTTATTTATCAAATGTCACTGTTAGAATTTATTAAATAAAAATAAAATCAGTTAAGTATTGATAATTTTAGACCTTCGTCGATATTGTGTTGTATTAAATGAAGAAATTATTGATGGAATAGTTGAATTTGTTGTAATATGAATAAAGATTGAGAGATGGTTAGCGTCTGCAATTTTTCGGGCTTCCTCATATTTTTATGAAAACCTTTAGTATAAGGAGTAAAATAATAATTCGTTGACGTCGAGAATGAAGGTCCATGACATAGTTACTTGAGCTGATTACTCGATTAATTGCAATTTTTGGCAAGCCAATGATAAAAAATGGCTTGT